ACAAAAATGCACTCCTACACACTGCAAGGCCCCCGCTAACAGTAGGTGATGTTATACGGAGTAGGTAATACTAGTAGATTCCTCCCATCTAAATTTAAGTTTATCATGAAATTACATCTTTTTAAATCTAATAATTAGGTCTTAGAGGGAGGAGAATAAAGAAACGTCTTTGAAAGCAACGGCCTCATTTATTTCTAAATGAACTGACATGTATAGGGCAAACCTGCTGATCAATCTTTGTTTTATCCAGTTCATTAATTTAGGAAAATTAAAATATAAAGACAAACATGAAAGCCAACATGAAAAACTATTTCTGATCGTTCCTTTTCTACTACTGACTCCCTGGAGAGAGATAACTGTTTTAAGCATATTTAACACAAAGAGTAAGGAGATAGCTAGACCTCAGACAGTCTCATCTCAGCATCTATTTCTTGGATATCATTACTCTAAAATGATGTCATCAAAAATAATTATTCCTGGGACACGCGCTTTCAGAAGTTTTGGTGCATTTCCATATCAAAAACATCTTGTTTTAAGCCAAAACCTGCATAAATATATTTGAATGGAAAAAATTAAAAATAAAAATCTTATGAAAACATAGTTGATGAATTCTCTTTTTAAAAATCTAATACAGTGTGATCCCCTCACCCAGCCTCTTCCCTTGTCCAAGTCCTCCACAGGCCTGAAACCACGGATAGTACTGAATCCTATACTGGGCAGCAGTCCCTTGTCAGACACTGGCAGGCTGTGGTACAGTGTAGCCAAGTGTGCTTTGCGGGCTGGAGCCCAGCAGAGGAATGGGAAGCTGGATCCAGGATGAAGTGAGAAGTGCAAGATTTCATGATGCTACTCAAAGCAGTGCACAATTTAAATAGTTTTGGACTGAGGTTCACCTGGTAATGAAAACTACAGAAGCAAAATGAGGGGGGTGCTATTGCAACCACATTATTAAATTGGAATTCGTGATCATTATATTTGGATAGTAATGAATATGTCAACCACAAAAATAATAAAACAGCAGCACCACATTCTAAATAATCTTTAGGTGCTAGGGTCTGTGCTAAGTCCATCACTCAAGCTCAACTGGCATCTAGTGAATGCTGATTCATAGTAACCCCACAGCACAGTAGAAATTCCTCTGTGGGTTTTGAGGCTGTAAACCTTTAAGCCTCATCTTTCTCCTGCAGAGCACAGGAGTGAGTTGGGGTAGTAGCTCATCTCATCAGCCAGTACTCCACTAGGGCTCCTGTACAAAGCATACATACTGCATTGTTTCATTAAGTCCGCAAAACCACCTAACATAGAGGAAACCATTGGGAGATATTATCACAAGTTATTTAATGCAAAAATGATGATCTTATTGAAAACTATTTTTATTATTTTGAAATAAGCCTAACCTAAACACATTACCATTAAAACCTTAGGTAGGGTCCCAGGGGTTGTAAATCTTTATTACTGCAGACAGCTTCATCTTTCTCCCGAAGAACAGCTGGTGGGTTTGTACCACAGACCTTGCAGTTAGCAGTCCTTAGCAGCCCAACCTTACTCGACAGCACCAAGCTCCCATCATGGGGTACTAAACTCTGGATTTCCGTGATGAGAAAATGGAGATTTGTAGCACATCAGTGTCTTATCTAAGGTCAAACAGTTTAGGAAGGCCATGGTTTCAGTCTTGGTTCCAAAAAAACAAGTAAGCTATTACAGCCTTTCTAACACGGTATCACTCCAGGGAAATGCCGCTGATGATACGACCCTCAGGCAATAGATAGCGTTCTATTTTGAGTGTCATTTATATTTAAATTGGATAATTACCACAAAATACAATGGGAATTCAGTTATGTGTTTTCTATTCTTAAAAGACACAAATCGGAAAAGGGTCGTTACAAAATAAGCATTATCCTATTATATAAACATATTTAAATACGTCAAACAGAAGCCATGTTCCTTAGAGTTACACACGCAACACTAATGAAGAGCCTAAATCTAGAACTCGCCTGTCAGAGGACCCTCTTTTTGTCTATGAGTGGTCTTTCATCTACCTCTTTCAAAGTATTTTTAAGAACAAATTTATAGATAATTTTAAAAGCTTTTCAAGAAAAATATAACAAGACTGGCAAAAGTTGAGTCAAGGAAATGTCATGCCCAGGTTTTAGTATGATTATAAGCTAAACTGACAAGTTTGTGCTTCTCAGATTGTAGTTTTAATAAGAGACTTGAAAGATCACAAAACAAAATATCACAAGATAGGGAACATGAAGAAGAAAAAATGTATGGGGGATGGGAGGGTGGAATAACACTCAGAGAATCTGGGAAGAGGTACAATAATTGGAAGGATTTTGAAAAGAAAAAAAAGCTGGTTAGCTAAGTGGTTAAGCATATAGGTACTGGCCTCATACAGACAGGAAGCTGTCTTAGTGACCTTACCATAGCTTCTACAGAATGGTAATAATAGCAGCACCTACTTCCAAATATTGGAATGAGGGCTAAATGTTCATGAAAAAAATTTAATGAACAGATAATGGAAGATCTCCATGAACTTTAAAAATAAATCATTAATTGGGGGCTCTTACAACTCTTATAATAATCTATACATCACTTGTGTCAAGCACATTTGTACATATGTTGTCATCATCCTTTTAGAAACATTTTCTTTCTATTTGAGCCCTTGTTATCAGCTCCATGAACTTTTGGAAGCCCCTTGTGTATGTAAAACTTAATACAGTGCCTAGCACATTGTTTATTAATTAACATGAAGAAAAGTTGTACATACAAAGGGCATGAAGTCAGGAATATACAAGGGACATGAAGTCAGGTTATCTGTACAGAGGATCTACTGGATCATCTAACTATACTTACATTCCAAATCAAAGACACAAAATCTGACTCCCACATCATAGATCTAAGGCAGAAGTTTCTATTTATGACTGTTGAAAAGTTAGCATTACTATTATTCCGTGAACTTCACAGAAGCTCTTTCAATTATCTAAAATGCCATTGACAAAAAGGCAACAAGAATACATATAAACAACCTAAACCACAAGGAATGAAAAACAATTAAGTTTGATTTTCAAACAATTGAACTCTTATTCTAAGTAAGCCTTTTTTTTTGCTCAGTGAGCCTTTTATTAAACTGAAGCAAAGTCTGATTTTTGATATATAGAATACTATTTTATTCTTTATTTTAAACATTTCTTACATGTTTAAAAATATACAGGGATTCCAAACAACCTCAATAAAACGTCACCAATGCTACTACAGACTCTCTGAAGTCCAACCACAGGAGCACAAGCCTGGTTGGCTTCCAATTTGAAGGGTCATAGGCACGCTTCGTTAAATGCATTTCATAAAACAAAGAATTCAAAAAGTGCTGAGAAGAAAAACCCTCAGCAGTCGGTTATAAATTTTAAAATATCACTGTCAGGAAACTAAGTAAAAAAGTAAGATTTAGATGTAAGATTCCCACTTGGCTGCATCTAAATCCTTGACAATTTACCACATAATCCCATGTAGCACACTAAAATATAAGTTCATTTGATCTCTGAATCTGAAAACTGATTATTACAAAAGAAAATACTGACAGCTCTCACAGTATTTGATAATTAAGTATATTGTACTCTCAGCAGCCCTAAGAATGCAGCTGGACCTAATATAAATATTCAAATAACTACACAAAGTATTTTTCTGTAAAAGAAAGTTTTGTATATATTTTTTCCAATTTGACAGGGTAAACAACATGGATCTATTTATTTGCTAGGAAAACAATAGGCACATAATATAATACCACATAATATAATTTACATTTTCTTTGTTGTAAAAAATATAGTATATACAAACACATATCCCATAAATGACTGGTGGACACAATAGAAAGTTATTATAGACATAACATAAAATGGTTAATATTTTACTTAAAACAAAACAAATAAAAGATAGCCCAAGAAGCAGTAAGAGTGAAATCTCACTGCTTGATGAGTATCATGCATTTGTATTAGAATTATTTTGGGGTTTTCGTAAAGAAAAAAACAAACAAAAAAAGAAACAACAAAAATTTTTTAAAAGCTAGCAAAAAGACACCACTCTAGGCACATGAACGAATTTTAAAAGAACCAGATAAAAATGTTTCCAAGCGCCATTAAAAATGTTTAACACAACCTCCAAAGTAGGCTCAAATAGGCTCAGAAGGAACAAATTATTTAACACTATGACTGCTTTATACAGTGCATTCCTTCATTAACTAAGACACTTTTTTGGATTAAGGTACCAAAGGATGCAAGTCAAGAAAAATGGACAGAAAAAAAAATCAGGCTTTTAGGAAGAAGGGGAATGAATATATGTAATTTCATCCAGAAGAAAAAATAATACTTTTTTTTGTATCAACAACGACAAAAATGTGACACAGAGAACATTATAAAAATGAAAGCAAAGGGTCCCTGAAGCAAGAAATAAAATACAACATACACTACACACCCTTCATGGAGAGTCCATCTAAAGACAGATTAGTGTGTTGAAAAGTACACTTTGTTGCAAAAGGTATTTTGCCACATATATATATAACAGTTTTCTAGGAAGGGCAATGCATGTAAGTAATAGCTTCTACAAAACACAGGGAACAGTGACAGACACAGAGAGAGACACAGGCAGGGAAAGTTCACTCAGAGATAGAAAGATGCACTGGTTTGATCTGATGTGTCAATTGTTTCATGTCCTGTGGAAGATTTTAGATACTTTTTTCATCCTTGGAATTTAATTTTTCTTCTTACTGCACAACTATGCTCACATGCTATAATTACCTCATGAGATTAACCTCTACACATCCTTTCCTTTAGTTGTTTTTCTTTTCACACCAGGGAAAAAGAGGGGTGGGGGAGAAGAAACATTCAGCTTCATCCTTCATTTCGTAGTCAATTACTCAAGTAAATATTTCTCTGGTGGCAAAATTCCAGATGAAATGAAGAATATGATTCAAAACCACTGTCAGATGACACTTGATTTAGCATGTAGTTTTCTTCAAATGGAACAGGAATTAGCCCGTTTCCTAGGTTTGGGATCTCGTGCTTCCTGATCCTTCACACACATGCAAGATGTGCACATTGTCTCGGACAGTCTTCTGAGGCCCAGCCGGAAAACACTGTTGGAGAGGCTATATATTACACAGTTACAAAAACTATTACTTATAGCAAGCCAGGTTGTGAGAAAGGATAGTGTCGGGTTGTCTAAGACCCGGGAGCTTTCTAGAAGAAAATAAATGATATAGGGCAGCCACAGAATGTAAAAGACACTGGTTATCCGAAACAAAACCATGGCATAGCGACGGTCTGGGCTGTGTCCAGCCTCTCCAGAGGGATCCACTTCATGGCTTGGGAATCGGGCCCTTCGGTCACTTATTTCTTTGGTGTGCTGCCGGCAAATTTTGAAAATGTGGAAATATGTGAAGCAGACCACAAAGGCAGCCGGAGCGTAAAGTAAACAAACAATGAAGCCAGTAAAGTAAGCACTGGTGAGCCAAGAGGTGGCACACCATTCAAAAATGTCACCGTGGTAGCCAGGTTTCCCCCAGCCAAAAAATGAAGGCAAGAAAATTAAGCAAGAGTAGATCCAGATCAAAATAATGCAAATTCTCAGGCGGCAAGGAGTGACCAGCTGATTGTAGGAAAGAGGCTTGGTTATTGCAAGGTAACGATCCACACTGATGCAAGCAAGACAGGCCATAGAAACACTTTTTAGAACTGAAATGATATATCCAAAAACCTGGCAAGTCAATGACTCGTGGACACCTGTGGAGTAGTGGAGAAGTGAGAGAGTAGGAACCAAGCAGGTAACTCCAACGAAGAGATCAGCATATGCCATCGTCTGAATGAAATAGCTGGTAGTATAATGGTGCAAGAGTGGAGCACAATGGAAGACAAAAATGACCGTTAAATTTCCAGCAATGATTAAGAAAGTCAGCAGGACAATGACAACTGTCTCAAAGATGCAGACATCCACTGCACTGTATTGGCCAAATCCAAGTGGGCAGGAGTGATGCTCAGATACATTCACGATTCCACTGCTCATGTTCAGGATCCTCTGTTCAGTCCCCCTGGATTCATTCATGGTTTGGGATTAAGGAAACCTGCAGCTTTGGCTATAGCAAGCAGGTGCCTGGCCCAGCATCAGTTACACTCTGCACACGAGTGTCTCAGAATCTGCTTCAGTAGACAGTGTCAGTGCTTCTATCACAGCTGAGCGTTCCAGAGAGCTGCTCAAGTAAGTCTCTTCGTCAGCCTCAGCGCAGCAGTGACACACCTCTGCTTTGAGGGGGTAGGGAGGGGGATAAGCTAGAAAGGGGGTGAAAAAGGTCACCGATTAGCTCCTTCCAGTGCTCTCAAACTACTTTTTGCAAAGATAAAGTACTTCTAGAGAAAACAGATTTCTTATTACCTTGTACTGAGCACAAATTAAATCTGTAAAAAAGGGGAGCAATATTTACTGACACGGGAGGAAAAGCTTCTGTGGCTGTTTGTTTCCCAGAAAAGATCGTTTCTTAGGGATAAACTAGAAAGAATGAGAAAAAGAAAGATTTAAATTGTTTGGGTTTTGGTGTTTTACTAAGGATGAGAAGTGTTAATCCATATTTCAGAATTTAAATAACCAAGAAAACAGATTTGGATGGAAATCTATGAAAAAAATCCATTGTGGCCAACAGTATCTTTGGGCTCAGTTTAGAGTTTGATGCTGGAGAGTCATATTTATAATCTAGTTCTAATTTTTTAAGAGCTAAGGAAAACACCCCTCAAGGGTAATTCCAAAAGATGCCCCTCTATAGGGGCACAAAGGAGCAGGACAGGGTTAACAAACAGACCCACATTGCCCTGCAACTCTCATGAGGAAAAAGGATGAATTTCAGGAAGGGACGGTAATAAACAATAGTTAATGCCACTTAAAATAAGATGAACTTTTGAAGTTTTAAGTCTGTAAGCATTTTCCTAAGCATTTAGATTCAAACCATTTTAGTTTGTTGTAGTTAATGGTGCTACTAGCAGCAATACATATTACAATTTATGCCTCTTCCTTTCCAAAAGAAATGTACCTTTTGTAATTATTTTCAGCATTAATAGCAGGAGAAACTTTATCTTATATGCCACCTTCCTTATAATGAGGCATGATAAAATGTATAAAGTAATATCACCCCTTTTCAACTATATATCTCACATATTTAAATATGTAAAATTCAATTAACAATGGAAAGTTTAATGTACTCCAATTTATTTGACTAGAAATGCTGTCGCTGCTTTTTAGGTATTTATAGTAGACATTCTATTTTATGTTATAGCGTTTCTATGCTCATTAGATGATTAACACATTAAATCATTACTTCAACTAAATTTTCTGAAAGTGGAAAATTACCTTGTTTGTTATATTTGCAGTTATGTAGCAGCCATATGTTAAGAAAATGCTTCTTCTATTTCTGCGTTCTATTTTGAGCAAGTGCTCAATTAACGCAGGGGCCATTAGGTAGGTTATGAGATGGTCTTGTTTTAAAAAACGTCTCTAAAGCATTAAGATGAGCTTAAATCCTAGAGTTTGGAATACTGAAAAGCTGGCAGGATAGAATGAAGCAATCCATCAAAAATGCTTCCAAGGTCACTTTGACAGCAGGTTGGCATTTGCCAAAAGTCTTTTTTTTTTTTTTCCCAAGTACAGGCATTTCAGAGTCTCTTGTCAGTCTTTGCTGTTAAACCTTCTGAAGAAATAATGTGCACGAGAAATAAAAGCATTTCCTTCAGGAACAATGCAGCAGCTTAATAGAAAGCATCCTTCTGAAAGTTGTTTTCTCACGCACCACCAAGTCATTCAGGGAAATCCTTCTTCCTTTATAATATCCATAGGATATTCCTCCTTGTACATTCCAGTTTCACTTATCACAAAATAGTTCTCTTGCTGCAAGAATAAGGTAATGTTTCTCACCTACATTCACTCTTGTCAGCTGCTAGGCTAGGCTGCTTGCTTTAGAAGTCCGATTTACAGTGATGCAGTTACAAGGGTGCCATCAGGATATTCTTCACAGTCTCTTAGTATCACTGCTTCCTCCCACGTGAGCCTGAGTCTGAGCCCAGCTCCTCCTCCTCCTTCTCACCCTGACTGATGCAGAAGAACTCACCATCAGAAAGGTGAATTGGGCTTCCTGCCCCAATCAAGCACAGCCAATGGCTACTGCAGCTGAAACTGTCACTAGGTAACAGTTGCCAGGCACATGCAGGCTTATAGACTTACTCGGCAAGCTCTGATCAAGATTGACAAAATAAGACAATGGAACTGACCGTTCTTCATAATATATTAATGACACATGAACTTCTGGAGACATTCTCCTTATACCATTTGCAAACATTATATCCACCGGACAGGGCAGATGGGGATAAAAATCTAAAAGTAGGCATACACCTTTAAACCCTATAGAGAAACTATCACAAGGTACTATAACACTAAAAAGTCAGCAGTAATCTAATGCTTATTGGCAGAAAAAACTTATTAATTATTAAACATAACTCAACTCTTCATAAACTCAACTGATAAACCTATTTTTTATATTTTTCCATGCCCACACAGAATTTTAGAGTTTGCAGTATTTAACTATACAATATACTTGAACTAACACCACTAAACTAGAATCTACTTCAGGAGAAATTTAAGGTCGATTATGATCTTAGAAGAATACAGGCATTATACACAGAGGGAAGGATTATAAAATCTACTTTTTCCCTAAAATAAAGAATGATCAAAGGATCAAAGAAATCGGTCACACAATGCCTGAACCACACATAACCAAGTTAGAGAAAGTAAACAAAACTGAAATATTTGATAGAAGTTATAAGCATTTCCATTTGTTTTGACTTACTGCAGACAAACTTTCAATATCTTAAACATACTTCTTATGGGGTCAGCATTTTTCTAAAAAGTGATTCAGACTTACTTAAAACAAATCATTAAAATAAGCAGGAAAATTAAAGTAAAACTGAAGGTAAGTAACGTTTGGTGAGCACATTCAATGTGCCGAGCAGTGTGCACATTGTTTTATATAATTTTTTCACTATAAAACCTTTAGTCTCTATGAACTAAGAATCATCATTAGAACCTTACTAGTCAGAAAAGTGAACACACTAGGGGCAGTAATGATAACTTGCCTATAGTTACAGAGTTGTAGAACTAGGCTTCAAACAGGTCAAAATTCTCATTCTTCCCCTTAGTGATGAACACCTTCCTGTCCTTTCCATTGTTGGCTGCCACTCTGGAAATGTCTAAGAAGAAATATTTTGGATTTCATAAAAAGTATTTCTAAAAAAATAGAAAGTCCTATTCTTTCCTCCATGTGGAACTGCCTTTCAGAAAACCATGGTTTTTGATAAGCTCTTCGGGGGTTTGGGTGAAATATAGAAGGGTGATTGTATTTTTTCAAAATAATTTAT